CGGGCGAGCTCGAGATGATCGGGCTAGAGGACGACTGCGACGGCGACAGCTCGTTCTTGTCCAGACTCACCGGGTCCACGATCATGCTGCTGCTGTCGGAGTCGCGATCGCTGTCCACGCAGCCGTCGCACGACAGGTTAGGCATCATCATCCCACGCGGCTCCATCGTGATCGCTTCATGGGCACACGGGCGGCCGGACATCTAACGATCCTAATTGCAACACCACCCGGGTACACCTTGCAACTCTCCGGTCATCCTGCAGGCCAGATCCGAACCGACGAGCGTCATCCGGGTTAATCACTGAACGATCGCCGGACTGCACGAGTGCTCCTCCTCCGACATGTTTTGGCGAGCAGACTGCCGCACGCGAGAGCCGCTATCTTACGCTAATAGTTTGTTTCCACAACGATAACGGCAGTTTTTTTTTCTACGCGAACCTCAAGGATGACGGATCGCTAGAGTGACGCGCGAGAGTCTACCGTAAACAGTCGTCGGCCACGGTTCTACCGCATGCCCGGCCACGTTTAGGTTCGCACTGTCATCCGATCACCGTTCACCGACTGCCACACGACGGTTATCACAACTTTCCGCTCGAACACGAGGAGTATGGATCGAAAACGTACCCGGTCGCGGTTTCGACGGGATTAGGCGCACGAAATGCGGTCGGAGCTTATGAAGCGCGATTTGCGAGTGTGCCAGCACCGTGGAGGACCGTCTACGAGGCGAAATCGTGGGTCGAATTGATTCGAAGTGACTGCTTTGGCCCTATATGGGCGGACCAATGGGCGGGCGTTTCAACCCCTACCGAAGGGGTGCCTGGCCGCCTGCCCCACCATTGCCCGGCATCCACAGCTCCCTCCATCCTCCTTCGGGAGAAGAGGAATCGTTGTCGTCACCACCGACGAGCAGAAACCCCCGGAGGGGACGTCGGAGTTAGGAAAATAGCGGGATAGATAAAGGGACTTTCGAGGCGGACTGGAGTTGAGGAGAGGGTGAAATTGTAACACTCCTGCTTTGCTTTGAACGGCAAACGGTGAAAGGACCAGGCGTTACATACTAATAGAACGTACGAGACTCGGACGAGTATCGATATCGATTTTCGGATAGATACTGACAGTCGTCTAACAACTTCTCGGTTTCTGTGTTGCTGTTGGCCAACGGAATACTGTGAATTGGGTTTAAGTATTCAGACCCCTTTATTAATCCGAGAACATTTTCTCTCTATGTTTACATTTGTTTTATTCCATTACGATTTCCAGCTAAAATTTTTTGAAACTTTTTCATACATTTGAAAAATTTGTTTTGTACATTTCTTCTTTATTGGCTAGTGATGGCTTTAACAAAAATGAAATGATAAATTTCGGTTCTTCATTTTTGTATTTTTTGAAATTGGAGTATTTTTCAATGTCACATTCTTAAATTAATAAACCAACTCAACTTCTTATAAAACACCATGCGCCTCAGTGTCCATGAACCTTGTAGAGGGCACTTATTTTGCTCATCGTACAATTAATCTATAAACCATATTACATAAATTAAAACTACATTGAAACCACAACTAAAATTCTTCGTAAAGACCAGTTCAAGCGTGCTTAAAATTAACGTTGAAAATAGAAACTTTCCACGTACCAAAAGCAATGTTGAATAAAAACTAGTTTGCATGTAGCATAGAAAATAAAAGCACAAGTTTGCGAGTAACGAAACTACTGAAACTAGTAACAAAATCTATTTTTAAATTAACGTCGACTCCATAAAATTTGATCGTCGAAAAAGGGGCATAATTTGCTCCGTGAAAATTCCATCGAAAAGGTTCGAATGGAGTCTGGTCGTGATCACGGAAACAGGGTTGACGAGACCCTGGTCCTTGGATTTGCAGCCTCGAAATGGAGAACGATGGGTTCCGTTGTATCGCCAACAGAGCGAGCCGGGCTGCACGCATCACGAGTTAACTTCCCTCAGGCAGCTCAAATAGAATCTGTATTACGCCACGTTGCAAAAGAGAGGGAGAGAGACGTATATCGCGATGGATAGAACAGTAACGAAAGGTGGAAAGAGATGAAGATGACACGCGGAGAGAGGATAAAAGAGAGAGGGACGAGCGTGAGGGATGAAAAGAGACGGAAGAGGGATACATGGGGGCGGAAAGGAGAGACGAGGAGAGACGTATAGATGGATGCGTATCTACCTGAGCGCACTATCGGTTCACAGAGCCGAGCAGAGAGCGAATATTGTGTTTACCCATACGCACGGCTTTGCGATGCAAATAATCTGGTATTATTGCACTTACTCCGCGTACCAGCGAGGTTCTTCCGTGACTACCAGCCTCGATTCACCCTTCTTTTCTTCCCTTCTCGTATTTATTTACGCGATATTCGGTGCGCTCATACGGATACTGTTATCGATGATTCTTAGCGGTGATCAGGGTAAGAAACTCTCGATTATGTAGCTCGAGATCATTAAAATGGCGGACACAAATGAGAGGGTTAACTCCTGAGGCCTCTTTGAAATAATTAAAAAGCTAAAAACACTTTAAACTTCAAAGTTATTAGAGTTGGAGAGAGATACAATCTAATTGTAGATTATAATTTAGAGGAGTTCAATTGTAGATTAAAATGACATGTTATCAAACTTGAAAATAATTAAGAATGACATGATTGTAAGTCATTCTTGATGACATGTTATCAAACTTTAAACTAATTGAAAATGATATAGAAGTATTGTAAGTCATTTTATACTGATGTTATCAAACTTTAAAATAATTGAAAATTACATGAAAGTGTAAGCCATGTGCTGCTCGGAAGTTTCAGAGTTAATGAAAATGGCGGTCTAAATGTCTGTCAATGCTCTACATTTAAATTGTTAACAATTCGTATTAAAGACGTTCATAATAATGTTGTGTGGGTAAAACATGAGAATAATATTAATCTACAGCATTGTACAGGGTGTTACAGTACTATGTAAACATTTTATGTTAATATATAACATAGAATTGTAATAGGAGTGCTAGATGGCAGTGGCGTTGTCGGCCATTTTGAATACCTGTAACTTCATGATCAACTTAACATCGATGTAACATTAACACATTAACGTTTATCTATCAAATGATGAATAAGATAATAAAATACTCCTATAAATTTTATTTATAGCCATTTATAGTTATTTATAGTTTATAGTTTATTTAAAAAAGTTTTGAAATTAAACAAAACTACTTAATTACAAAACTACTTTAATTTAATGTAATAAATTATCAAATTCTCTGCAAAACCTTCTGTGCCCATTTTGATACAATTGTGTAAAATATAATTATGTAAAATTTCTGCGAGCTAATTTTTCTTCTATGATGGTTCTCCCTCATTTTGAAAAGTATTGAAACTGCGATGAACGTCGTAAGGTTCTCCTCCTTTTCGCTAACACGGTGTCTTTTGCTGGTTCAGCGATTACCACATTAATCTGAAGTTGCCGGCAGGTTAGGTTAGGTCGTCGAACAGTAGAACAGACAAAGGTGTGGTATACCCAACCATGGAACCCTTAGGCGTTCGCCATTCACTTCGCGACGGATTGCGGATTCCACGAGTTCCACTATTCGATTCGATTGCTTCTTATCCTGGACTCTCACCACACGTATTTACCTCTCCTGATTTCTTCCCTCTCGATCGCCTACGAATAAATCTCGAGGGTGTCCCCTCGACTTATTGCACCCCTGTCTTAACTTGCACGCAGGATCGAGCTGTCATCCCATAGACAATTCTGGTTCACTGTTATTTCACAATTGTCTAAAGCTCTAATTTCGTTGGCTGATTTAACAAATTGAAATTTAATATTTTTGTTGATCTAAATTTTTGAGTCTTCAATTTCTGAATTTTTTAATTTTCAAATTTCTTCATTTTTGAACTCTGGTTACTCAGTTTAGCTTAGGTTTACACACTCCACAATTTTTTAATTCTTTAATTTCTCAAGTACTTGAATTTGCAAATTACTAAATTATTTAATTAACTTGATACTATTATTGCGTTGAAATGTTCAAAATATCCTTATGAAATAATCTGAATTCTTAATATGAATAGTTTTGAGAAAGATGAGAAGGTAAAAATTGGCAGAAAATTATAATATCGAAAGACATAATGCAAAGGGTTAAATAAGAATTCACACGTTCGCGTTTCATCCATAATCGCGATAGTCGTTGAAAAGCTTCTCGTAGAATCGTCCAAGGAAATAAAACACGTCGATTCGTCTGTGTGCGAACATCACCAGAGCGAATATTCTCGGCTTACGGTGCACAGAGATGCAAATCCGTAGTTCTTTCTCCCAAAGGAAGCTTCAGTTTGCCGTCTCTGAATCGCGTAGGTAAATGGCTGTTCTCTTTAACCGCATACACGAGGAGCTTGCGAGCAACAAAAAGGAAGAAGCAGAAGAAAAAAAAAGGGGGAGAAAAGCAGAGGGTGGAGAGTACCGGGTGAGTAAAAGACGACCGGAGAGGGGAAAGAAAGAACGAAGGAGGCTTGTCACGAAACAGAGAGAGGATCAGAACCACGTACAATCTCGTTCATAATTCATGGACCGTCTTATCATTTCTTTTTCATTTTCATATTTAATGTATCTCTATATTTTCAAATTTTTATATTTTCTCTTACTTCTTATATTCTTTAAATTTTTAAATTTTTAGAATTTCAGTATTTACAAATTTCTATATATTCAAGTTTAATCATTTTTTTAGTACCATTTTTTTTAGAATTTTTTTAGTCAATTATATTACTATTATTCTACTATTTCACTATACTACTATATAATTAATCAATTATCTCTCGAATCCACTGTACTATAGTCGTACTACTACTATTGTACTACTATTTCACTGTACCATTCTTCCACTATACTAGTTTACTATACTACTATTACTCAAGTATGTTATTCATCCACTATATTACTATACAATTCTACTACATCTTGAATCAGTTGTATTATTATTGCACTACTCTACTATTGCTGCACTATTTCACTATACTATTCGTCCACTACACTATTCTACTATACTACTATTACTCCACTATACAATTCACCCACTATATTACTATACAATTCTACTGCAATTTTGAATCAGTTGTATTATTATTATTGTACTACTCTACTATTGCTCTACTATTTCACTATACTATTCGTCCACTATACTATTATACTATATTACTATACAATTCTACTGCATTTTGAAGCAGTTGTATTATTATTATTGCACTACTCTACTATTGCTGCACTATTTCACTATACTATTCGTCCACTATACTATATTACTATCACTCCACTATACTATTCATTCATTATATTACTATACAATTCCACTATATCTGGAATTAGCTGTATTATTATTATACTAGATTACTGTTACTCAGTTATTTCACTATACCATTCTACCACTATACTACTCTGCTATACTACTATTACTCCACTATACTATTTATCCACCATACTACTATACAATTCTACTATATCTTGAATTAGTTATACTACCTTTATACTAAACTACTATTACTCAACTATTTCACTATACCATTCTTCCACTATATTATTCATCCTCTGTACTACTATACAATTCTACTATATCTTGAATCAGCTGTATTAATATTATACTATACTGCTATTACTCAACTATTTCACTGTACCATTCTTCCACTATACTACTCTACTATTCTACTACTATTACTCCACTATACTATTCATCCCCTGTATTACTATACAATTCTATTATATCTTGAATCAGCTATATTATTATTATACTAGACTACTGTTACTCAATTATTTCACTATAACATTCTTTACTTTACTACTATTCTATATTAGTATTACTCCACTACACTATTCATCCACTATACTACTATACAATTCTACTATATCTTGAATCAGCTAAATTATTATTATACCATACTACTATTACTCAATTATTTCACTATAACATTCTTCCACTATATTACTATACTATGTTACTATTCCTCTACTATACTACTATACAATTCTACTATATATTGATTCAGTTGTGTTACTATTATACTATACTACTATTATTCCACTGTTTCAGTACGCTATTATACAATTATTCAAACATTTCTCTAAGTGACCATACTACTATACTATAACTCTGATCTGCTATGTCACCATTCTGTTATATCGCCGTTTCTGATCCTTCACATCAACGTTGCAATTACAAACTTGCATTATGCCTTTTATATTAAAAATGAAGTACAAAAACAAATAACCACAGTATTAACTATGGCACACCAT